AAGTCTCTCTTCCCTTCCTCTGCTCATGGAACATTTCCAGATGTTTATAAACTCTTTGCCCCCATCTGCAGTACAGAAGAGAGTATATACCTGTGCTTTTAACTCAGTCAGTTTGGCTTTGATTTTCATCTCTTTCTACGGATTCCAATGCCATTGTCCTAATTATACATTTTCTAAACAATCTCTCCCTAAATTATTTTCCCCAATTGTACCTATTGCTTCAAAGTACAAGCTTATTCTTTGTTCAAGGTTTTCCTTGTTTGCCTGAGGCAAGGATTTATTAGGGTGATATCTTTTATTGAACCAACTGCATAGCTGGGATAGAGTTAGAAAAGCTTTGACTGCAAGACATTCTTCTTCTGGTCTTTAGATCTTCTTTGTCCGAAACTCTCAATGCTTTCTGGTCTAATTTTTAGCAATTATATTTTAGGACTGGCTTTCGTTGTAACACCAATTTCTTCTAGTAGCTTGATATATACTGTAAATAGATGTTCTGTATACTACCATACTGAAGACAAATAATCACTATAATATAATATAAACTAGTCAGAAAAGCTAGAGATAAAATTAAAATACTCCTCCAACCTTGATTTTAGTAACAGGATCAGGTGCTTTCAAATGCAAAACAATGTGCAAAGCAAAACCAGGCCACATTGAGCCATTTTATATGGTAAATAAATTGTTTCCTAACCATTTAGGACAAACATTTTTAGTTATCTTTAAAAAAATTGCAATGAGATTCAGGAGATTTATAGCATTGCACAAAAGAAAAAAAAATCCAGTGCCATTGCTGACACTGAATTCTTGAAAGTCATTTGGGATTTTGCAACAATGCATGATTGATTCCTATGTATACACCCAAGCCTATTCCCTAGGACCAGTGATTTGTCAGATGACTTATGAAATCACAGGTTAGCAGAAAGGATACAACTCGGAGATTACCTGCATGTTATAGAAGTAAAACAGCTAGCAATTTCTTCCAAAGGGTAAAGAAAAGTGATTATATTTGAAATAATGAGGCCAGGAGTTCATGGGAGGAAGAGTCTTTGCTTCCCAGAAAACATATTTGGCTTGCAAATATCAACAGAAAATACTGAGGGAAACAGAACACAAATCAGTAGTTTAACCTTCATGAGAACAGATCTCAAACTGACACTGAGATCTCAGACCCTACAGTCATGAAATCCAACATTGCAAATCAGCAACTATTAAGGTTTGTACGCAATGAAAGGGAGAAAAGGGTATTAAGAACCAGTTCTTTGAGGCTTCTCTAATCTACCTCTTCCACATACTGAAACAGAAGTTTGTACAACCTGTTTCTGTCTCTTTTGACATACAGCTTTATGGGATATTATGATATAAAATTAATAGCGTCAAGATGGAGTCCACTCATGTTTACCATACATTAACATTTTCTATGGAGCAATAAGTGAAAAGAAAATATGGTAACCTTCTCCCCCCAACACACTTTTCACTTAAATCAATTAAGCCAACTGTTTGTGAAAATACATTATATAGCTGTCACCATCAGATCTGTGATATGTAGATATATGGTGGCTATATCCTTATGATAAATTGTGCAACCCCACTATAATATATGTATCATACACCTCTGATCGTTTCAGTGCCCTCTGTCCACTAAACTATTTTCCTTGGGACATAAATTCTAGCTTCACAGTCATTATATACATCGTTTGTAGGCCTAAGATAGCAAATATAAGGTCCTATATTACTAGTTGGTTTGAAGTTTGATATTTTCAGGGCAAGTCTTCATGGCGGTAAAAAGGAAAATCTTGGCTTTCAGCTGAAGATTCCTGAAGACAAATATTTAACAGTGATAAACAATCATTGTTATAACATAAAAATGATACTGTAATTAGTAAAATACATGTTCAGTTTCTCATTATGACAGTTTTGACAAACTTAAACAACACTATTTTAGATTAGGGTGGCCAAGTTGCGGCATGCGTGCCAAAAATGGCAGCCTCTATGCCACAAATGGAAGCCTCTGTGTCAAAAGCGGCAGCCTAGGTACATGGCAGATCAGGGATGGAGCACAGCAGCAGATAAGAAGCAAAAAAGCAGATTGAGAAAGGAGTATATACAAGAAGCAAAAAGCAGATTAGTGGATCAGACCAGGAGCAGAGAACAGATGGGGGCAAATTAGGCAGAGCAAGGGGGGCAAAGTGGCACTCAGGGAGCATGTAGGACTTGTGTCACTCCTGCTAAAAAGGTTGGCTTCCACTGTTTTAAATATTTTGCCCTGTTATATTCCCAATCTTTAAAATTCAACTTAAAGGTATCAAAACAAATTTCTATATGTATCTGTTATTTCATAACTTACTGTCATAATGGCAAAAATATCTACACTAATGTTTTCATTATCAATAAATGCTTCCATAGATGAATGGAGATTTTAAAAGCTAAATGTTAATTAAATATTTAAACTCAATCCAGTTCTAACTATGAAAATATAAAATATCATAACCAGGAATGTTTAAATATGCAAAAGAGGCATAAGGTTCTGAAGCACTGCCTGGAAAATTAGTCGCTGAAGCATAGTATGCACACTTCAATAAAAATGGCTAACTACATATTTCCTTTGACTGGTTCACTAGATTCAGGCACATATATTTTGGATATGACAAATTGGTCCCGAGAGCCAAGAGTATTAAGCAGAAACATAAAATCTATGTGCAAGGGTATCTTTAAGAAGCTATATTTGTAATAACCCTGTTTTTTAATATAAGGCAAAGACAGTGTTTAACCTTTTAAAATTCACTGAGACCTCATAATGACAATATTTCTCTTAATTTAAAAAGAAAACAAGAAAACAGACATCATACTTTACATCAGGGCTATCTAACTGGCAGCCTGGGGGCTATGAAGTAGAGAGAACTATGAAGTAGTAGTATTACAGGTCATGCTCAGTGGTGTGCTCAGTGGCGAACCCAGAAGTCGACTGGAAGTACTTCCAATCCACTTCCGGTTCCACCGGGGAGCATGCCGCCTGCCCCCCCCCCCCCCCCCCCCGCCACTTGCCATGCTGGGCAGCATTTGCTGCTTCCTCCCCTCTCCCACAGCACAGACTGTAGCCAGTATGTGGTATGCTAGCTGTGCCCCCCCAGACCCGGGAGACACCAGTTGTTGAATGGGGAGCATTGGGGGGGGGGGAAGGGGGCCCGGCATGCTCCCCAGTAGACCCGGAAGTGGACCAGAAGTGCTCCTGGTCCACTTCCAGGTCTGCTGCCGAGCACGCTGTGGGGAGCCCCCTATGCTCCTGTGTGACACTCCATCTGCCCCAGCATCGCCGCATTCACAAGCCACCTGGTACCTTGAGGTATGTAGAAAAAACATTTAAAGCTGTGTCTATGGCTGAATCACTGAATCTTTCTGAATTGATTCCGAGAGTTTGATCGTTTGAGCGCTATCCTCTTTATAATAACCCTTTTATATTTGAAGACTCTTATCAGATTCCTCCTCAGTCTCCCTTACACCAAACTAAACCCCAATTCTTCCACCCCTAATCATTTTTGTGGCTCTCCACCAAATTATTTCCAATTTGTATAAACCTTTTAGTACAGCATCCAGAATTGGACACATTATTCCAAATGAGACTTCACCAGTGCTGAATCAAGTGGAATAATTTCTTTCCATGACTTGTGAGCTGTTAATACACTGGAGTATGCTATTAGCGGTTTTTTTTTTGTTTTTTTTTTTAATACTATGGATGCATCTATATGTGCTGTTAGCAATGTGCGCTGGAGTTTGTTGTTCCTGAGTGCAGTATTTGACCATGTGCTCAGGACTGCAGCACGCTGAGCCAGGTCAGGGAAGCTCTGGTTGGCAGGGAACCCAGAGGGTCAGCTTGCCAGCCCAAGACTGCTCTGACCCAGCTCGGTGTGCTGCAGAGGGACTGGCTGGGGCATGAGGCTACTCCAGTGGGAAGCTAGCCAGCAGGCAGCCCCAACCAGCCCCGTCACTAGCTACACATGCATTGCTGTTCACTAAAGACCTCCACCACAGGACAGTACTTGTACTTACAAGTACTACTAACCTGTGGTGGAGTTGATTAGTTTCCTGCAGCCTAATAGGGCTGCACGTGTAGATGGTGAGACTCTACATGATATCTCATGTAGATGCACCTTATTACGTTGTTGACTCATTATTCTTCAAGTCCACTATAACCCACAGGTCCTTTTCTGTGTTACTGCAGCTTCACCAGTCATCCCTGATATGTATTTTAGCAGTTGATTGTTCCATCCCATTTCTTAAAAACACTACTCCAATTTATCAAGGTCAGTTTGAATCTTAATCCCTGTCATTTAATGCTCCTACTACATGACCCATCTTGGCGCTGTCTGAAAATTTACTAAGTATCCAATTCAATTCCATCCTCATTAATGTAGGTATTTTGAATAGTACTGAACCTAGTACAGAGCCTTGGGAAACTGCACTTGACACACACTCTCAATTAGACATGGAGCCATTGATGACGACTTGTTGAGCATGATGACCCAACTAGGTATAC